AAAGATATGTTTGTTTAATTAATAATCTTTCTTTTGAGACTGTTTATGACATCAATTAGCGTTACATTAACTTTTATCAGTTACAGTAGTGAGACTGAAAAACGAAAAATTATCGTTTCCTCTTTAATTTGGTCGTTACCCATCATTTTGGTCTTTCTCTCTATGTCTTTATCACTTTATGATCACTGGAGTTTATTTTTGTTATTAAAGTTATGTCTTTTTTTTGTCTTTTTGCGGTGGAAAATATATTTAATTTTTTTTATTTGTTTCTGGGACATAAAGTAAAATAAGGTGGGTTTATACGTAACATCATTTGATGACACATTATGAAGTGCTATATTTATTGCTCTATGTACAATGTAATCCCGGATTCCCGCGCCAGCCCAATTGTGAGAACTTAGACTTGCAAATTTTTAATTGGCTTGGCCAGTAAAGAGTTCTGCCAAAGTTAGGACCTGAGAAGCAATCAGACCCAAAGATCGGTTTGTTGTCTACAATTTGTGGAAAGTCCTTTTTCTTATGATTTTTGAATTGCGAAAACCATTTGAAGAGAGCCAGGTCAACGCACAACCGATTGCTTCTTATACGGTATCAAAAAAGAGGATTTTTCTCTTTGCTGATGACCACATAGCATGGGTAAAACATGGTGTGCAAAGTGAATGTGGATGTTGTAGAAAGATTTAGGGGATATGAGCACTTGAACATCCTATCGGAAACTATATTTTTGGACGCATTGGGAGATCTGGGGGTCTCCGTAATTTTGTCAAAAGTTTTTAAATCAATAATGTATTTGTTGTTTCTTATACCAGTGTCGCCTGCTTTAATTTTTCATCTTTGAAAAGAGAAAGGATAACCCTAATCGTGCTGGGACCGATGATGTAAAATATTATTAAATATATTCAATAAATATTTAATATATTATAAAGAGGATAAATTGATTTAAGTGACGGAACTTAAATTGGTATATAATTACTGTTATTTAAAATTTTAAACGAAATTTGAATATCCATTAAGTCAATATAATTATTTCTAATTGTTCTAATTAATGCCTTATAAAATAATATTATACAATATGTTTAACTTAAATTTTAGTTTTTACTATTTTAGTTATATTAAAATAATAAAAACTTTGCCTTAGATAGATAGATAAATAGATCAATCGATAGATAGATAGATAGATAGATAGATAGATAGATAGATAGATAGATAGATAGAGAGAGAGAGATAGATAGAGATAGAGAGAGAGATTGAGAGAGAGAGAGAGAGAGAGTGAGAGAGAGAGAGATGAATAATAAAAACTTAACAAAAATTTGTTCATCTGGCATTTCAGTGAAGGCTAACATTAAGTAAAATAAGTTGAACTAAATCACATAATACAAAAACTAAATATAATTAATGATTTTAGGGAAACATAGTAGTAATAATGAATTCTCTCAGTTTTGCGAACATATCACAAACAGTAAAGTTAAAAGTTGAAAAAAAGGAACAAGACAAGTTTTCTAATGTGACAAAAGCTCCTAAAATATTGTAAACTCTGTCGTCTCTGTTTGAAGAGAGATGAGGGTTGGTGCAAGATGGATTTAAAAGAGATAAGGGATGGCAGCTTTGCGGATAGACAAAGGAAAGGAATGCAAGAGATTTGTGACTCGAGCTACACCTCTCCAACATGGAGATTTTATGACGAGAAAGATAAAAGTCATTGGGAAACGAGTGGGTGTTAAGAGAGTTCATAGAGGATTTGAACAGAAGTGACTTGAAAATATTGTGAGGTAGTCGAGAGTTTATAGATTGGTAAAGGAAGGGGTCTAGGAAATACTTTCTACGGAAGGAGGGAAAAAACCAGGATTGATCTGAATACAGGTGGGAGACCCCGGACATTCCGGGGATGCAAGAAATAAATCTAACCATCCCTAACCATTCTTCTTCCTCCGAACGTCCACCACAAGCGACACAGCTGTAGTCGAAGAGAGGAAAGATCAGGGAAGAGACAAGTTTCCAAGTGGTGAAAGGAAGAGGGAGCCAGGATCGGCGGAATTGAATGAGGGATCCAATACAGCGTCGGGAAATTTGTGAAATGGGTGGTTCCATGATGAAAGGTTTTTGTCGAAGTTTTCATCGAGGTTTTGAACAGCAGAAGGAGATAGGCTGGTTGTTGATGTTGAAAGGATGGGGGGAGGTATTGGAGGTAGTTACAAGATACAAAGAAACAGTCCTGTTTGTACTACTTTAAAAATATATTTTATTTTTAAAACATTTTTTTTGTTTGATACAATAAATTAATAAAAAAATCTTCTCTTTCCTTCTGTCAAAATGAAAATTACAATATCCAATTAAATTCTGTAAAATAAAATATTTTGAACTTACACCCAGCCAGTAACTTGAAAAAATGGTACAAATAGAAAGGAAACTGGCCTGATATATTCTATTTAATATGAAATATTCTTTCCATAAAAAGGTCAAGTTGAGACAGGATCTACGGCTGTTATGCTGCTTATTAGCAGACGCCCTGTAAGCTCCAGCACAAAATAGAGTGTCTGTTCAGCACATCACCTCTGTCCCATCATGCTCAATCTATTTTTTCAAAAATATTACATAAAATTTCCGATTTAGATTTATTAGAAATTTTCTAGTTTTTCATTTGCCATTTATTTATTTAATATATATAATAATTTCTTTTGTTCCGTAAAATACTTCATAATATTCTACTTTTGGAACATCTATTTCTAAGGAATGATACGTAAGTAGTATAGAATAAGTTTGTCCTGCTCAGCCTTTGCTCTGTTTCCAGAATTAACCCTCTGCCTACTCTATGATATTTGATTATGAACCTTCTCATTTTTCAGGCTTATGTAACCATTATCAAACCTTTTGAAAGTTCGATCATTCAAAGTTTTCTTCTTAACAAATTGAACTACCAAATATATGGTTTTAGTAATAGTATAATGAAACGAGAATTTTTTACTGGACAGATGTTACGATTAATTTATCATCAAAAACAATTTATTACAATAATAAACAAATGATACCCTAATACATAAATCATATAATAAAAATTTAACTATATTCAAAGGTTTAAAGTAACATTAATGATAATAACATTGGAAAGCATGTTTATTTATAATAAGAATTCCTTTTTTCTAGCTGGTAAGTAAAACCCGCAATAGTATTTCCCGGGGGTTCGGAACATTATAAATACTACAGAAATATTGAGATTGTAAGAAAAAATCTCTCTTTTTTTTCCTTTGTCGTATATTTAGCTTTTGGGGTTGGCGAGATTTGTAGAAGAAGAAGAGACGAGGAGGGCTGAACCCTGCATAATCTCAAATCCCCGGCTCAATGGATTTATGTGAGGTTGCATCTGGGGCCTTTCTACCAAGCCTGTGTACATTTATTGTCTTCGGATATGGATATATATGGAGGAGTGTGTAATAAACACGTTTCCTCACCTGGGGAGATGTACTTCCTTTATAAAATATCAACTGAATCCGTTATCACACCCAGAACGTTAATGTTTTCTCTAGTAGAATATTCTAAAAATTTAAAGATAATTTAACGTATACGGTTATAGATCAATTTTACTTTGCAACTAATTTATTTCGCTTACCAATTTTGACAGGAACTATTTCGTTTCAATTACATCTTATGTCGGTTAATTAAATAACTTACCAATAAAGCTGTCGTATTTTTGATTTCTTTATTTAATGCAAAACAATAAAACAACACACTATACTATAAATTGAAAACTCCCATCTAAATTTATATCCAAGCTAATACAAATTTAAATCCTGTCCGCTCATTATCTCCATCTCTATTATCTAGTTACTTGTTTCTTTTAAACTATTTGAGAAATGAAATAACAAAATAATTAACTCTATTGTTACTATTAATATTTTACCAGATGTCAATTTGAATTTCGAACGCTTCAACCTACTACTCACGTAGCTTTTTTTTCTGCATTTTTTTTAACCTACCATCACTACTTACGTAGTTTAAAGTGTTACAGATTATATTTCCTTATGTGTACAAAGAAAATTCTTAAGTACAAATATTTTTCACACTTCACTACAACCTGCAGAACGATCTTGGGACAAATAGGATGAAGAAAAGATCTGGCGTTGAACCCCTCGACAGTTCTCTCTCCGCACATTGACATACAAAACCTACAACATACAGAACCAATACCAACCTCTTCACCTATAGAGCATTCACACCACCGGAAGTCAACCAGACTATTCACGATCTACCATGGAATAAAGTCTTGGCTACGACCTCATCAACTCAAAAATTCTTCTTTAATGTGTGGTGTTTAGTGTGTTAAGTGACCTTAGTTAATGATTAATTGGAGATCGTGAGATGTGGTCTGGTGTGACGTAGGTTTAGAAAAATATTTTCTTTATCGTGCCAATGTTTCAATCTTTATTGAGATCATCTTCAGGGCTCAAAGTGTTTGTTTTCTGTGTAGATATGTTCATTCTGCCGTGTCGTGTATAGTGGGCTCTGAAGATGATCACAATAAAGATCGAAACGTTGGTACGACAAAGAAAATGTTTTTCTAAAGCCTACGTTACCAGACCGCATCTCACGATCTCCAAATATTCTTCTTTAACGTCGCAAAAAGGCAATTGCTTACATTAATACTCTGCAGAGAAGTACCTTCATCATTTGTATGTTTTCTCCCTATACAGTTGCGAAATAATAAAAAAAATTAAAATGTTCTAGAAAACCATGTGTGAAAAAAGAGGTTGCTACTACACAATTAAGCTTTGCATTAAGCAGCATTAAACATTTATAAATTATCTACATATTATTTTAATTCTGGCAAACAGGGCTTTGTTTTTATTACATGTTATATTTTATTTAACAAAGTCATTATAAAATTCCAAATAATATATTACATTAAAGCTATATCACATATATAATATGTGATTAAATATATATAATTTGTACATAATAAAAAAAAGAAAATAGGTTTAAAGTTAACAATATAATAACTAGCTTTTTTCAATTTATTAGTGATTTACGTTGAAGATAAGGAGATAGCAATGAGAAACACCCACATACTGCTGCCATTCAAAAAATTCCCTTTACTCAAGAAGACCTCTCGGAAGAACGCCTTCGCGCAATCGATCTTGGCGAATACAGCTGGGTAACTAACGTTAGCACATCCGACTCCCCAGGAAACCATTCCAAGGAGGTATTTTCCACATTTTAACCCGCTGCCTGAATCACCCGTGCATGCGTCTTTCCCTTCGACTACTGACGCGCAAATCTGCGACGTTGGGTCGGAGACGGTAAAATCTATAAAAAAAAAAAATAAGCATAGTTTTTTAAAAATTCAGAATTCATTAAGAAATAACTTACTGCCTTTTGAAACTGCTGAAATTGTATCAGAACATGTTTTAAAAGGCATCAACGGGATGGCAACTTCCATGAGGTCATTGCTGACGTTCTCGTGGTTATTCTTCCCCCAGCCCGCTACGTAGCAGTAAAGACGAATTTCGGTATAATACGTCAAATTTACTTGTCCATGCTCTGTTTTCTAAAATAATTTAACTTCAAACATAAAATATTACGATTTTAAGCAATTTATAACATTCATCTATGTACTAGATCTTTGTGTGTCTTTTTCAACATGTTAAGAATTCCGTTGCCTAACAAAAAATAAGCTTATGTATTTAGGATTTGTTGTAATTTAATAATTTTTATCTATTTATTTTTTACAAGGGTATTTCAACAACCCAATGTTTTTGAAAATTTAAACTATTAATTTGATTTAACTAAAATGTATTAATACTATATTTAATAATTAGTAGTTCCTATCATAACTATATTTATGTATTTCTTATCATTTATCCCGTAATAATAAGCTTAAAAATGTCAAAACAAGCTTAAAAAAATAAATAAGCAAGAGGCTTTTGAGATTATTGGTTGGTGTCTAGGGCAACGGGAGTGAGAAAACAGCAAAGAAAACCTTTTAGGTTTTTGAGGATAATTTTCAAGCTTATTGTTGGGGTACCATTGGTACTGCACAAAGTTGTTAAAGTGGGCATTGCTCTGCACAACCCTTGGGCAAAAAGAGTCAAATTATAATTTGAAAAATTCTATGTTTGGCAAATATAGCAATCGATACAATATGCAGTGGTGGGATGAAGAGCCATCTTGGATGTAGAAGATTCCAGGATGGAGATTTTAGATTGGTGCCAAAAAAGTTTCCAATACACGGCAGGGAACATTAAAGGGAAAACACTGCACACGCCAACCATAAGCTCATAGGATTAGCTAAGCTTTAGCAAATTTGCTACAGTAGGTGTTGCCCTGAAGAAAAGTAGGGCAAGAAAGGATTAAACGATTGGACAGTAAGAATTTGGAATGTGGTATCGGGATTGGACGAACAATTATTACATGGAGTCAAAGCTTTTATGGATTTAGGAAGAAAAAAGCATGAGGGTTGAGTTATGGTCGTTAAAAACATTACGTTACGAATTAATGAGTGGTCGAATCCAGGAGATTTATGATAAATTTTTGATAGCATGCCTAATATCTTCATAAGTTGAAGAAAAGATAGAAGTAACAAAATATTACTGTTGTTTGAGTTGAGTTGAGTAGTGACAGTTAGTCGATAATTATTCAGAAATCGTGAGATGCGTTCTGGTGTGATGTAGGTTTCAGAAAAACATTTTCTTTATCTTGCCAACGTTTCGATCTTTATTGAGATCATCTTCAGGGCTCAACAAAGATCAAAACGTTGGCACGATAAAGAAAATGTTTTTCTGAAACCTACATCCTACCAGACCGCATCTCACGATTTTTGAATAATTACTGTTATTTATTTGACAACTGAAATTGTAATATAGAAAAACAGAAAATGCGAAAAAAAGGCGATCATTGTCTAAAATATGTTTAATCATTAGCATAAAACTTCTGATCATGCTTAAAGGTGACATTATAAGCATCATCTTTGCACGATAAATCAGAAAATTTAATATTGATGATAAAGTAATAATATGTATTTCTTAAAAAAAAATCGTTAACATTTTGTACATTCTAAAACATTTAGGTTTCAAACTGAAAGATATTCTTTCAGTTCTTTTGTATTCTACTTTAAAAAAATTTTGTTCATATCGATCCTCGTGACAAACATAACATTCCACTATTTATTAACAGATCAATACATAAAGCGTAAGAGTACTTATCAATGATTGCGGCTACAGGGAAAATCATTAGTCATGCCGGGTTTTCTGATGATTCATTTACCAAAAAGTAAAAGTTCAGTAATAGTTTTTAGCTCCAAGGCAACATGGTTAACAAGATTAATGAAATAGAAGAAATACACGAGTAATTATTAGACGTTCTATAAGAGAGGGTTTGATGGAGAAATATCTTTTCTGTGAAATATTATTGACAATGGATTGCCCCTTATTTATTTTCCACTTCTAACAGTTTAGCACGTAATTCCGATAAGTAATTAGGCTTCAAACTATGTGTTGTAATCTGACTCGCCTCTAGTTAACATAAGCATTATGTTTAACTAAGATTTATTTCAATCTGAATGTCGCTGACGTTTTGCGGCGCATCGAAAAATGTCTCACCCTGTATTTTATCCAAATACAAAATGAAACTCAAATCAGTGTCTAAATATAGAAAACATAGTTACAGCAAAATGACAGGTACCGTAACTTACATAAAAATTTAGAGAAAGAGAGAAAGTGAGATGTGTTAAAGAGACAGAGTTATAGTGAGAGAGGAATGTAGAAGGGTGTTAATCGCAACAAGTATATGAATTGTTTCAATTAATTAATCTTTATGTAAGGTATTAGTTAACATAAGAATGCTAGTGTCACGAACGGGATTCGAACCCACGACCTTCAGCTCAATACGCCCCTTCTCAAAACACGTTACCTATCCTGACTTCGATCCACTACCAACTCCCCGTCACAACTTCAAACTTTTTTTTTCGAATTTTCCCTCCTTTTTGCCACATTTCATTTGTCTCCGAGAATCGAATCCTGATTATACGACATTTGAAAAGTGTTAAATAGGAGAGAAAATTCGAAAGGTAGGTTGGGATGGGTGGTTGGTGTCCGAGTGATCGAAATCACGATAGCTCAAGTCGTTAGAGCAGCAGCTTATTGAGCCGAATATCGTGGGTTCGAATCCCGCTCGTGACACTAGCTTTTTCATGTCAACCAATATCTTTCATGAAGATTAATTAATTGATAGACGTTATTTGGTCAATCGGACCACGAAATATATTCATATATTCATAGAATATATGAATTGTATTTATGCAAAAAATATTACTTATGCAAGAAAAAGAGAAATAAAGAAAAGCGAACAAAATAATTATCAAAAATTTACATTTTCTAGTGCATTAATTGGATATGTTCAACTTTTAGTCAGAATGTGATGGCTGTGTCACGAACAACTGAAATCCCAAATTTTAATTAGTTATCAAACTTCAAAAAATATAATTGGAAATCTAATTATTGTTAAAAATATAAACTATAGCACGTGCTCGTGAGAAATAATAAATTAAAATGTTTTATGGCTATCTTATAGTGTACGTTGAAGTTTTTGTCATTGATATTTCTTTTGTTTTATTGTGAAAACAGCTGTTTTTAAAATTTTGCGTTTGAAGGTGACTTACAGTTAAACTGAACGGAAGCGAGATCGGTTTGACATAATCGTTGAAGATAAATGAAGGCGATATGCGAAGCAGTGCGATGTCATAATACAAGCTCTTATCCGTGATAACACACTTCGGATGAATGTAAATTTTGTCTACGTAGCGCAGCTGCTCGGACTTCGCCGAATATTTTAAGTTGACGATCCCAGCTCTGACATGAAGGAATATAGGAGGTACTTCATTTACTGAACCAGACACGTTCGAGCGGAAGCAATGGCACGCAGACGTTACCAGCGTTTTCGTTATAATAGACCCACCGCAAATATGAGGCTTTGATGTAGTCATGATGGACACTGCGAATGGATACTTTTTGAGACTGGTTTTTCTTCCGTTGATGATTTTCTTCTCGATGTAATCCTCCCCGTGCAAGCTACACACGAAACAAATTGCCACGCATAGATGTGAATACAAAGAAAAGAAAAACATCTCAACTAATTACAAAAATTCAGTAATCTTCAAAAATATAGAACACCTTGTAAATTACTTTTATATACAGAGTATAAAAAATAACATGTGTATTCTTTAAAATTATCAGAACTATAAAAGATTTAAACAACTTCCACCAGATAACGTGAAGCTTACTTTACTGGAGCTCTTCACAGTAATGTTTTTATCACATTTGTGACTTCCTTGAAAAACACTTAGCTGACTTTGTTCAATATTATGGAATTCCACCCTCCGGAAAACATCCAAGTGCCTTGTTTATTGCACAGCGCAGCCCGGTTGTTTGAGCGCAAGTTCATAGTTCAACCTATCTTATTTGCAATTTCTTTAAAATAATGCAGATGTTTTAAGTAAGGTGAATTAATTCCTCCTTCAGAACATTCTGCACTTGTTCAGGGGATTTTATTTATCCGCGTAAAGTCTATATAAGGTCATAAGGTCATCTTATACGTCAGACAGCTTTCTGCTTATTCACCCTTCATCGTGCAGATGTATAAATGAAATGTGCTGGAAATAGAAAGAAAACACCTCTACTCTCTCTATAGCTAAGATGTGGTAAAAACTGGCTTCATTAAAAAATAAACCTTAGCTTCTCTCTGTCCCAGAGTAGTATGAACAAAATTGTAAAGTATAATAAAATAGGAGGGTTCCTAACAAAATTTATAGTAGGCCCATAAAACCTCTGCCCAATTTTAAGCTGCCATATAAAATTAAGAATTACAAAATAATTAAGTTGACCTGATAGAAAAACAACCTAGGAAAAAGACAGGGTAAATAGTTCGTCAAGAAATTCTTGCCTAGATTTACAACAGACTTCAGCAGCAAAGTCCGATAAAGTAAGGATAATTGTATGTTGTTAACTAGACAAACATAATAGGAATATCTTCTATCAAGAAAAGGAGGAAACAGAAATAAATTCATTTCAACTTATGTAATTTAGAAATAATTTTCAAGTGAAAAGAGACTAATAAAAAGCATGAAGCTAAATGATTTTTAGCTAACAGTGGTAGGCTATGGACGTAGGATAACCAGTATTTATAAAACTTTTGTTTGGTGATACTAGGTTGAAACATAGAAGAAGTGACCGAGCGTTAGTACCAATATCTCATAAAAACTTATTCATTTAATAAACTTTCTTATGGTATGTGATCGAGACAAGTTTTCTCCTAATTTGTATTGGGCATCACGGAAGTAAATGGCGTTATTTGCCCGAAGTAGGCAAACTATATGTAAATAATACAATAAAAATAAATAAAAACTCCTCTTGTATATACGTGACCGTTGAAGCTGGACGTTTTTGGAATTTCGAGTAACCTTAAGAAAGCATATTACATGAAGAAGTATTTATGATGTTTGGCACACCTACAAATATGTTTGTTGAAAAGCAGTTCTTTTTGGCAATTTATCAAAAGTTTCTCATTTTTTAAATACTACATTTTGAGTCGAATTAATAAACAAACAACGGCGTTTAATGCAAAATTCAAAATGTGGTTACAAATTGGACCAGATGCTCTTGATCTTGAAAATATGCATATTTATAGCTTAAGGTCGGAATTTTTCAAAATGGCAGTTGCTCTGGATTAATAAAATCATTCACAAGAAAAACGTACTTGGGGTAAGTTCACATGAAAAAACAGTCTTGCACTCCATTGTTTAACAACAACAGGGTTGTTCCTTATGTCGAGGTTTTTGGACCCAATATTATTTCGGGTTTATGCTGGACCAACGTACATTCCACAATTTTATCCTCTAACTCGAATCCTGTCCAAGCTGCATCCAACATCCAAGAACACTTTGAGCGTTTCGAAGACTGGGTCAAGTGGAAGACAAAGTTGAATGAAGAAATATGTTTTCGGGGTAAGTTCACATTGAAAAAACAGTCTTGCACAACATTGTACATCAACAACAGGGTTGTTCTTTATGTCGACGTTTTTGGATCCAATTTATTTCGGATTTATTCTGGACCACCCTTTATACCGCAATTTTGTCCTCGAATCGAAGTGGAAGACAAGATTGAATGAAGAAATATGTTTTCGGGGTAAGTTCACATCGAAAAAAAGTCTTGCACTCAAATTGATGTATTGGATCTTCTTGAGGTCATTTTGACCTGAAAATGACATCATGAAGATCCAATACATCAATTTAAACTACGGAGGTCGATCAATATCAACTAGAAGTCTTGCACTCCATTGTACAACAACAACAAGGCTGTTCCTTATGTCGAGGTTTTTGGACCAAATTTTTTTTCGGGTTTATGCTGAACCATCCTATATACCGCAATTTTGTCCTCTAACTTGAATCCTGTCCAAGCTACTTCAATATCCAAGAACACTTTGAGCGTTTCGAAGACTGGGTCTAAAAGTAGTAGACAATATTGAATGAAAAAATATATTCTCGGGGTAAGTTCCAAGCTACGTTCAATATCCAAAAACACTTTGAGCGTTTCGAAGACTGGGTCAAAAAGTGTAAGACAAGGTTGAATGAAGAAGTGTGTACTTGCACTCTATTGTACATCAACAACAGGGTTGTTCTTTATGTCGAGGTTTTTGAACCCATTTTTTCGGGTTTATGCTGAACCACCCTGTATTTTCATTATAGTTCATTTATAATAATAGTTTTACTTTTTTTACTTTTGTATATCGCATAAATAGGCGTAAATTTATAAATTCTACTCTTTGTTTGTTTTGTAATAATTCATCTCCTCATATAATTTATAGCTTAATTACGCGTTTCTTTGACTTCCTTCCATTATTAAACAAACAAAAACCCATGATTAGATTTGGATAATCGTAGTTCGTAGTAAAGGCGAATTGTGGCAGTAATTTGCTAAACGTCGTCTGCTATCAGAGGTAAATGAGCCTGTGTAACAAGGTAACAAAGCATTGATTACTTGGTGACGTCAGAGAGTGTGGAGTGCAGTCGGTGGGGCGATCTGTGAAGCTATGATGAAACCAATCATAGAATTCTCGCCGGCGCATGCTCAGGTGAAGAGTGTCAAGCAGAGGGCATTGCATGGCTTAGTCAAATTCCATTCGCCTTGTGGGCGTGTTGTATGTAATCAAAGCTCCTCGCTCTCACTTGTGTTTTTTCCTGTCAAAGTGTATGCCAAGCAGACGGGTGACGGGAGTAATGCCTGCGGCCCTCGTCGCCTGTGTCCTCGCCGCCTTCGCGGCCTCTGCACAGGTAAGACTTGAATCTTGACCCTCTGGACGACGTCCCTCCCAGGACGTCCTGGCACGACGGCCACCCGACGTACAATCGATACCGGCGTACGTACAACGTGCGTGCCCCTTCTCGGACCGACGGTTGATAAGAATTCAAAGCGGTGACTCATCCCCCTTCTTTCACGAGATATCGATTCTAGTTTCACCCCTAGCACCCCTCGGCATCCCTTGTCCTCTAAACAAAATTCTCCGCAAAATTCGTTTATCTTTTCTAAATATTGCTTAAGATGCTCCTAGTATTAATGTAACTCTACTCCAGACGATATCGTTTTACCCAATGCTCGAATACAAAAAAAAAATCCATAAAAAATAATATTTTTGAATTTACATAATGTATTATACGATAAAACAAAACAAAAAATCTTCCAACGTTCACTTTTTCAAGGAAAATGATCAACTGCATAATGTAAACTGCTAAAATATCTTACTCCGCATCTTTCAAAAATCTTTCCTCCATTTTCCTGTATGCTTTTCATAATTTTAAACACACCACATTTCAGTTCAATTATGTCTTTATGAGAAAAAATAAAACTCTATTCGTATTGAATTTAGCCACATGAGAAAATCAGATTTTCTCTGATGATAAAGTATTGTGTAACTCCGTAAATAAACTATTTTCCATTTTTTCTAGACGAAACTTTAACATGCTGTACAAGCATTTCAAAAAAATTATATAATTATATATTTCGATTCAATTTTATCGAACTAGATAGCCAGTTTGCGACTTACGTAAATTGTAAGTTAAAAAAAGGCTAAATCTGATATTACGTTCAAGAAGGATAATTCGGAATGTTACATAATAAATTTTATGCTGATCTACTCTGCAAATATTATGGCAATATTGAAATTTTGTTTTCATTGAGCCATATATCTCAATTGGACTATTTGTTAAATTTCGATTTTTATAATATTGTAAGGAGATTTTATAAGGAGATTTTTAACAATCTTTTGTTTGAATTGCCATTAGTCAGTAATAAAGTTTTTTGACAATAGTAAGTTGGAAATAAGAAAATGTTAGGTTGATTTACGTACTTTGAATCATGCATTACGCATCGAGTTTAAAATAGAACTAAGTTGAAAAATCAATTATTCTGTTCATAATATAAAATTCATTGAGCACATTTTCTTTCACTTAATTAAATAATTTCTTTCTAAAAATAGTCTAAATTAATCGGTTTTTGATGCATATAGTTTGTTCTTTGATGCAATTATCTTCAATCATTTTTGGTTGAATATACTAAATAAATTTTATTACAATAGTGGTAATTATAATTTTAGAATACGAAGTTTCTTAATAGTACCATTTGTTTCTCTTTAATGCATATCGTAATTACAGAGAGCTCTATAAATTATGAATATATTTATCATTATCAGTATAATTATCAACACAACGTATCCAACCTTCGATATTGCGGTGGATGGATAAAATACTTATTGCAATAGTATATATAATTGGGTAAAGTTTGTTACAAATGAAATTCACCAAAATGCAGGGCGTAAAAAAGGTTAAACACTTTTTTAGTTAAACACAAAAATATGTCAAATAAAGTAGAACGAATTGAATTTTCAATTATTAGAAAAAAAATCAGTTTTTATTGAACATTGTATAGATGTCTTTCAATTAACTATAGGTTTGAAATTATAACCTATTTTCACTTTTTCTAACCAGTCTTCTGTGTATACTATTGTTAATTCTAATTATGTAAATATTCCGCAGTTGAGCAATTTTTTTATTGATATAGAAATTCTCTAAGATAAGTTTTAAACACCGTCAAAAAACAATATGAGAAAAAGTTTCTATCTACTAAAAGACTGGAAGTTATTAGGTAAAACTATCT